CTATGGCACTGAGATTAAATTATACCTAGAAAAGACATTTACCTGAATCATGCCAGGGTGATCACGTGGGTTGTTTCCAGGCCAAGGTGTTCCATCACCCATAGTCCAGCCTTCCTCTGGTGTCTTTTGAGCCTTTGATACCAGAGCATTAACTCTAACTTTAAACTCTTCATAGTCTCTCTGAAAGAATTGAAAAGTAATTAAGAAGAGGACGATATAAGAAGCAGACCATGAGACCATATATTTTGTGTGTCGGAACTCGTAGATAAGGAAGCTGAATCTAGATTATCTAAAATTCATGAAGTTCTACACAAAGTGCTCCTACTCTACATCTACTTTTCTTTACATATATAAGACAAAATTTATATATAATACGAAATGTTAGTAATTTTTGTGTAGAATTTCACAAACTACAGATGACTGGGATCAAGGAAGCTCCAGATGCTTACTTTCATTGCTCTTCGCTCTTTCACAAAAGAAGGCTGCACTTTGTCCTTCAGATAGTCAATTTTCTGAGAGAAGTAAAACTCAGGTGCTCTTGGTTCAATAGCATACTTTTTGCAGAACGGAACCCATTTCCTTGCAAAATCAGCTGTCTCCACCAGAGATTCAAATGTCAGCATTGCAGCACCATCATCTGATACATAACAGGATACTTTATCTACAGGGTAGTCAACCGCAAGGATAGATAGCACTGTATTAGCTGTAATCAATGGCGGCTCTTTCATAGGATCAACTGTACTGACAAAGAAATCCACAGCAGCAAGCTCAGAAGGTGCTCCCTCTTTTTCATACCTGGAAAATCATTATAGCAGTGAGCATTACTATCTTAAACACAGATTCAACATAAACTCTATTTGCAACATTAAAAAGAAGATAAAAGTACATTTAATTACTTTTTTCAACCAAAAAAAAAAAAACTCTTCATATTGCTTCTGAAATCAAACAATATTGAAATGATATCATTTCAAAAACTAGCAAGCATGGTTTATATCAAAACTCTGATTAAATACATTCTAGTATAAAATGGTTTTCATATTCAATCCACCCTCAACTCGTAAAGCACGATGTGAACAAATGTTTGTGCTTTTACCTTGCAGACAGTCTGTCAATGTAAGTTTCCCTATTGATGGGAGACCATTTAGGGAACTGATCTAACACCCAGGAAAATGCAAACCAGATCTCACAGATAATTGATGTCATCCAAAGACCATAAGCACTATCCACGGGATTTGTAACTCGATAATGGAAGAAAAGACCCAGAATTATTAGACGCAGAATAATTACAGTCCTGTATGGTGAGAGTCTGGTTTTTGGGATTGGAATAACTTCTGAAAGTGGCTCATTAGCATCTGAGGACCTTCATAACAAATCAGCAAGGTTAGTTTAAATAAAGAAAAACATTACATATTTCTAACTCGAGGAACACACACATTAATGTATGAAAGAAAAATTCAGAATTGGGCTCACAGTTTTAGCAGTAACAACATGATGAAAAAGTAAACCATTAAAAACCACGCCCAGTAGAACATATATTGTTTATTGTTAGCAGCTACTGTTTGCGATTCTTAGTACCAGTCTAATATTGTAAAATAACAAGAAAAATAACATTTTCTGTACACAAGGGTGATTTGCTCTCTAGTTGAGATCTGGAAATTTTGTTTTTTCCGTGAAAAAATCCATTATGCTCATTCGTTAGACACTATGGCAGAATTGTTCCATTACTGAATACTGATATCACTCACTGTTTTTCTTCCATCTGCTGCTCTTGTGGAATTGGGGGTCCATGTTCAGCCTTAGGTGCCTCCTTTTTCTTCTTCTTCTTCTTATCCTTTTCCTTCCAGCTTTCAACTCTATTTTTCCAAATGGGATTCCCATACTCATCAACTAAGTCTGCAAGAAAAACCAAGCTCGTATGATGATCAATAACTCCGTCCTAAACAAATTTGTACCAAACAATGTGCATTATGTTATATCTCTTTTTACCACTATCCACTGTTGACACAGTACTGACGTGCCTAGCATGAAGTCCAACATCCTGCACAATTCAAGGTGTGATGTGAATGCAAATGTGAACACCAACCATTCTATATTCCAAAACGATATGAATGTAATTTTAGATTTCTTGTTTTGCCTCAAGATTCTTCTTACTCTCCAAGCAAGTCAATACCTGGGAATTACTCAGTTGGGAGGCCATTGTGGATCGATTCCCCAAAACCTCTGTCTCTTCATGATCTATTTTTTCCCCTATCAAAATCACGAAAAAGGAATTTCAGAAGGATATTTCACAATATATAATAAAAAGACGGTGATAAAAGGAGGAAAGCTGCCGTTTTTAGAATGACTTTTGCATTATTGAAGAAAAGAAATCCTTCAAAAAAAAAAAAAAACAACTGATGTGCAGAAAAATCAACAATGTCATAAGACTTCTCCTGGTCTCATTTTAACAAATGAATATTAGGTCGATTAATAGTATATCTTAATATTAAAGGAGGGTTAAAATCCCTCATTCAGTTCAGTCTCAAGGGAGTATGGCATCAAGAATCAATATTGAAGGGAGTACAAAGCTAATAACAAACCCACAGAGTGAAAGACAAACTCTAGAACACAATAGACAGGCAATAGGATTACCTTGATAGGGAGTTCCACATCTCAAACAGACTCTGCGACCCTCATTGATTTCAAAATCAAAACAAGCTTTGCAAATTGGGAAACTGCAATCATGACAGGCCACAAAGACCTCGCCATTGGAATCAAAACCCACTTGTTCCCCACAAGTGTTGCAGAGGGGAACCCCAGATTGCATCATCTTCGGCGTTCAAGGACCTCAAAATCTGAGCCTCCCAGCCAGAACTGGTCACTCTGCGTCTCAATCTCATTTTCATTTCTGATGATTTTATAAGAAAGGGGCTCAGGGAGGTTCGTTTTCGGAGGTTGGAGGGTAGACGTCATTGTTTGATTCGCACACAAAGGCACGAGGCGGAGGCAGAGAGGGAAAGATCAGAAGCAACGTCCGTTTGGGAGATTGGATGAAAAAAATTCAAAATTTTGCGGGAAGTGTAAGGAAGGCTTCAGTTGGGCGGGCTACATCTCTAACTAACAAGGCTTTGAAACAAGTCCACAGATGAACCCCCGCCACTGGCCAGCAACCAAGCATGACCGAATTATTTTTTTAAAATTATAATATAAATTATAAACCATCTAGCTCTCTAATTTTTTTTTAATGTTTCAACTTTTCAATTTCATTTTTTCCTTAAATCATTACTTCTATATAAAATAAGAAACATTTTAATATATTGATATCACAAAATAATGAAACTTTGTATTTTTAAAAGAAAAATATCACAATTAAATCCTTTTATATTTGAAAAATCATAAAAAAATACAAAATTTTACTATTTCAAAACTTTAAAATATTAAAATGTCTTTTATTTAATGTAAAAACTAATAATTCAAAGAAAAAATAAATGAAATCAAAAAGTTGGATATTATAAGAGATATTAAAGGAAGGCACATTATAAACCCCTAACTCCTTTTTTTTAATCCTTGTTTAATTTGTGTTTTTTTTTAAATGAGAGCGTCCGTTTATTATGATTAATCAAATATTCAGATCAAAAAATTATAAATGGATGAAATAAAGAAGAGAAAAAAAAAACTCTCTCTCTCTCTCTCGATCAAAACAAGAGGTTTAATTTTCATTTTTAATATTTTCTTTATTTTATTATTTTTTATAAAAATAAAATTTTCTCTCTCTTTTTCAAAAAGAAAAATTTCATGAAATTTACGAATTACTAATTTTTTTTTAAAAAAAATCATTTCCCGCCCCTCTTAATAATATGATCGCATTCCTAAATCCATAATTCAGTGACATCTTGGGGAAGAATTAAAACTGAATCGACAGTATAACCCCATTCAAATATAGAAGTGAAATGAATCTCATTTTCAGTTTCAAATCTATTGGTAATTTCATTATAAAATGTGACCTACAACTTATAATGATAAGTATGCCACTTCCTCTCCAAGAGGTTTTGTCTCGATTTTCGGCGTCACTGTCGTTTTTTGTAGAGACAGGAATATGGGTGAAATTATGAGTTTGTTCAAATAACCATTCATAACGGTTGGGTGGGGTTAGATTGGGAAAAAAAATAATCTAATTAAAAATGAGTTTTTTGCAACCTCAGACCAAACTATATGATTTAATCTTAATGAGTTGGGATTGTCTTATTTAACTCATTATTTTTAAAAAAATTTAAAAAGAAAAAAGAAAAAATTTTTGTGGATATAAACTAAGTTGGTTTAATTCATATATTTTATATAAACATTATAAATTAATATTTTAACATATTTACAATAAATCATAAAGGAATATCAAATTAAAACTCATTATTTATTTATATTTTTTTAAAATTTAAAAAAATATATAAATGAATTAGCAAGTTAACCAATTTAACCCGTCAACTTTTAAGGGTTAAATTGGGTTGAAATTTTTTTTAACTTATCAAAATAAGTTAAATCCAACCAAACTTATATTTTTCTCATCTATATAGGTTGGCTTATATTTTTACATCTAATATTTCGCTTGGATAATTGCTTATACGCCAGCAAGAAAATTCAACTGAGGGCCTAATTTGATATTTCTAAACAGCTCTAACGTCAAATCAGCTTCCCTACCAGTCTCAGGCTTAAAAATTCCCAAGTTTCTTCATTATATTTCACACTCATGCAGTGTCATTTTCCTGTTGAATTTTCCCACCATTGCCATTCTTGCATAATAAGCATGCCCTTGAAAGAAATCAGTAAAATCAATCTTGATTTTCAAGGAAAAGTTTTATCCTTTTACTCTTTTACTTGCAAACATTAGATATTTGAACTTAAATTCTATGTTTTCCTGGTCTGAATGAAACTATGGAGTAAAACCTCAGAAAAATTAACCACGGTGGCGGTTGCAACCAAAAAACAAGGCCTCGACAGGTTTGTCTATATAATGACAAGAGGTCATATGAATTTGCAAGGTGACATTTCTTCTTTAAATGCATTCAAGATATGTTGCTTACAACCACATGAATCACTTGCTTTTGTTCAAGGAGCAGCAACTCAACCCAGAACAGTGAATAGAGGATAAGTAGGGAGTGCAAGTCCAATTACTGATGTGCAACTACAGCTACAGCCTCATGAATCAGCTGCTTTTGTACAAGGAGCAGCAACGAAAACCAGATCTAATGTACCATGCATATGTACAGACTGCACTTCAGACAACCAATTTGTAGTTACAAGTGCAGCCTCCAATTGTGTCGCAAACAAGGCTATGTAAATATGTCATCTCCACAAGTCCTGGATTTCATAGAGGCATCCACATAAATTAGTAAGCCTGTTACAAAGCCTAACATGGAACGTAATGATTAGCTTAACATGAAAAGTTTACCGCAAGGTCTGTGTGATTTACATCCATCCCAGTTTCCATAAGCCTAAGATAAATTTTCCGTCTCATGTGACACATTGCGGCTTCAGCATCAAGCCATAAATTTTTATACAGCAAAGCCTGTGGGTGCAAGTGCTCCTCAACATCCAGATTTTTGCCAAGATTTCTCCTGATAACCTGAACAATTTCGTTGCCTTTCTCAGCGGCCACATCACTGCTTGATGCCAAAGAATATTGACCTCTCTCAGCAATCACTTGAGAAATATTGTTTTGCCCCCCATTATCATCCTGAGTATGAAGCTTTTTTGGAATAGCGGAGGTCTCAGTACTTGCTTCCTCAATTCCCTTTCTTGAATGCTAGCAAACACACGCACAAGTATAAATAACAAAACACAATGGAATACAATTGACCCAAGACATAAGTATTGATAGAAAATATGGCAAATGTTATTTCAGAAAGAAATAATTGTTTTTGCATTATTTAGTATTTTGTAAGTTTCCTTCTAAGGAAGGAAACCTGACCTGCTTTTGTTTTTTTTACTCTTTATAAATTTTAAATCTGCAAGTTGAGCTTTCCTTATAGGGAAGGAAACCTCAAGCTTATATTTTATTTCATTTTATGTTTCCTTCATAAGAAGGAAACCTTAATTGTGGCTTCTATAAAAAGCCACCATGCAGCACATGTAAGGAAGTTCTTAGAGAGTTGGAATGAATTGCTGAATTTTGTGAATGTTTCTCAGCCCTGCGTCTCTCCCCTTCTATTCTCCTATCTATCAGTTCTGCGTTCCTCTCCACTTCCCTGCTTTCTCTGTTTTCTGTCATCTCTCCCCTCTGTTTCGCTCCCCCTTCACCTCTCACTCTCTGATCCTGTTTCTTCTTCCTCATCCTATTCTGTTCAAATCAATGTGAGTGTGTGTGTTTTACATCAAGTATACAACCAATAATATCATTAATAATTAACCCCCATATTTGTGAAATCATTATTGAAGAAACATGATTACAAAAATTTCACGACAGGTTAAAATCAAAGATGCTTGTGATCTGACATACCTTGGGAAGCTCTAATGACCTATCAAGAAGATTAGGACTGCCTGTTTGAGTGGATTGAACTGCAGAAATCATTTGGCCACTGTAAACTGCACTAAACTCGTTGAGGTTATTGATTATGTGCTGGATTGTATCATAATCATGTTGTTTACATGAATCCAATCTGTGAACACAAGATTGTACAAGCAACTCTGAAAGAACAAGCATTGCATTAACCATTGTCTTAACGTCAAGTTTTGGAGAATCAATCAAAGACTCGGATACACCCTGATGGGTTTCAAAAAGATTAGTAACAACACCAGCTTGAGATGAAGATGAACTTGGAGTTGGAGAATGATACTTGACAGGGAAGGAACCTCTTGTTGACTCCTTGGTCATATCATGTTTAGTTTCCTTTGAACAGCCTTCAACATCGCCAGCAGCCACTATTGGTTTTTCCTTTGTTGAGAAACTTTCTACAGTAACGGGATGGGTAGGCTGAGCCATGCAGGTAGAATTTAGTAAAAAGCTACATTTTGGATCACTGACAAAGTTAACCGCCTTCACACTTTCATTCATGTTATTAGAATGTAGAAGCTCAACTCCCTTCAATTCTACAGGATGTGTGTCTGCCATAACAGTTTTCATTTGTCTGTTCTCTCCTGGCAACGAGTCAACAGATAAAGGCGCACTGGATTTGGAAGATAAAAAATCATCTTTAACCCTTTTACCGCCAAGACAACTTCCTTCAGCATTTCCAGGAAAGAACTGAGGTGCCAACGGATTCAAAGTATTACATTTTCTGATATCCTTCTCAGAGTCATTCGTTTGTGCTGATCCTAAAATTTCTGGAGGAGATTGAGAAGAAGTCAATTTTCCTTCCAACAAGGAGAATCCAAATCAGAGTCACTATCACCTACACTTTTGGAAGTTTGAATGCAAACACCCCTATTGCAACCATCAGACTTTAGCATGACCTGATTTGTGGTACTTGTTGAGTAATCTCTAGCATCACAAGAGAGAGACTTGCCAATCTTCTTAGGCTTCTCCGTGTCACCATCATCAGTTCCTGTCCCATCAGCTTTTAATATGACAAAAGAGTCCTTTACACCAGATATGATAGAACTAGAAAGGCCCTTGTCATCAACAGTACCCCAACTACCTGTCAAGAGATCGATATTCCTTGACGAATCAAAAGGCAAAAGAACTGAACATTGACTTGATGATCCATGTATTTCTGCAGGAAGACTTCTCATCGAGTCAAAAGCAACATTGCTTCTAGAAGAAGAAACATCTGAGAAGTGTTGTCCATCTGAAGCTCCACTTGAAATAAAAACACTCCGTGCTACCCCTGAAGATGTATGACGGCCTTGACTATGAGAAACATTATTCAACTTTGCAGCAGAGGACATATCTGATGTTGAAAATATGATTGGAGAATCATCACTATCTGCTGTTAGAACAGGGCTTGATTTGGCACCACCCAGCATTTTGCCTGCAGAATTGGATAAAATTTCTTTAACCAAAGTTAAGTCATTGCCTTTACTGAAAATACTGTCAGAAGCTTCTTGACAGAGATTCAAACCATCAACAGCATGCAGACTTGTACATATCATTCCATGTTGTCTCATCAACTAATGTGTCCTGGTAGTCAAAATTTATCTAAAATTCAAACTGAAACATCAATTGAAAACTATTCAAAATGCAACATCATACTCAAGCAGAGATCAAAGGCCAATCATTGATCATAGCAGACTTTCAATGCCGTTGGCAGCAGAAACGATTTAAGTTTCTCTATTTAGTGAATAACCAAAGACACTGGATGGAATGGAACATCAGAAATGACAAAGATAAGGATCTACCTAAGCTAAGAGCCTAAACCAATTCTGCCAGAAGTTAAAAGACCAAACATTTCTTCATTTTATTTGTAGCAGTTTACCACAGCAATAAACATATTCATGACTGTACTTGGCTTTCCAAATAGTTTCAAGAAGAAAGCTATGCATGGAAGCAAGCGTGCATCTCTATTTCTCGTGGAAATCCCTCCCCACCTCTTATAATTAAGGTACGTGCTCCTAACTTGAATATTCGAGCCTTAAAAGTTATAACTGATCTTAAAAAATTTAATTTGATCAGGAGTTAGCATCCTCAATGAATGTCACGCCTATCAAATATAATCCACTGAAAACTTTGTAATATCACATTAATGCCCAAGAACAAAAGCCATATCACCATGAAATCAAGTATTGCTTTGCCCCCGGAAAAAAAAAAATTAAAAGGTTGGATAAATTGCAGATATTGGACTCAAACGAGGAAAAAACCAACAAGACGAGAGAACGTTTGTTACTATATATAAGATGAAATAACGTAATAAAATTAATTAAAAAAACAGAGCTCTAAGTAGAAGAAGCTTTGTCGCCCAGAATAATGACCTTTTAGACGAATGCTCCCATTAGGAGCTGAATCGCCACCATCATGTCCTGTGCCTAACAAACCCTCATGATAATCCTTTCCTTGCTTCCCATGATTGAGTTCGTAATCAGCACATGTGGCAGAGCCTAAACCAGTAATGTTTGAACAGTATTCGAGCAAGGGCAATGAAAACTCGTTGAGCACATCAAAGTCTGACTCGTTAAGCACAACAAAGTCATCATTTCCTTGAAAATCCATCAAAGGATGCTGCGAAAGGGACTCCCCGTTGGCTTGAGTCTGAGAAACAGGTTCAGCAGGAAAAGTAGCAGCAGCAGCAGCCTCTTGGGCAAACCCAGAGTCACCCAAAGGAGAAGAAAGTACTGGGTTACCCTTCGCACCTAAGTTGAATTTAGGAAATGAATCAAGCAAAGAACCAAAAGGGTCGGTGCCAAGGTGATCGGGCGAGTACAGCGCAGGTTCTTGGCTCAAATGAACCGGCAGTTTCAAAGTGGGTTGTTGGGTGCAGCGATTGAGCGTAAAGGGTTTGGCAGATGCTGACAAACGTGTCGTCGATGATAATGACGCTTCTGTTTTGCTACGACTCATCTTCGATTTTTTCTTTTTTCTCTTTTTTCCAGAATGTGGAAGCGAGCAGAATACTCGGTTACCCAAGTCCCAAAGTATCGAAACAAGAAGAAATGGAGGAAGACGATAACAATAAGAAAAAGGTGGAATAGGTACAGAATTTGCTATGCAAGAACAACGGCGATGTCTATTGCTCTAACTGGCCCTTCGGTCCTTGACTTTGGTGAAGTCTAGCTTCCTCGCCAAGGCTTCTTTTTTCCTGTCGTGGTAGCTTTCCCAGGAAAAAAAAAAAAATACAAGGGAGAAAGGGAAATGGATGGATTGGCTGATTGCTTTTCCTGGGAAAGAGCCCGGAAAGGGAGATATAGGCATAGCTTTTTCAAATTAACAATAATTTACGTCCCTCGCGGACGTAGATCAGCTGGAGCTGGTTTCTTCTCATTTTTTTCTCTCTTTATTTTCTCTTCATTTTTTATCTCAACTTTTAAATTTATTTTAAATAATTAAAATTTAATATTTTATAAAATTAATTTTTTTATTTTTTAATTATTATTAAAAATTAAATGTATAAGAAATAATAAATAAATTTAAGATATAATTAATTTTATCTAAACTGGAAATTCAAGATTTAAGATTATAATTAAAAATAAACAATTTAATTTTGTAAAATATTAAATTTTAACAATTTTAAAAAAAATGTGATAGTTGAGATCAAGGTTTTAAAAACCGAATCGGTCATCGAACCAGTCAAGATAGCAATTCACAATTTAATGTCAAACTGGGATCAAACCATGGTTGAATCGGTCAATAATAAATTAATATATTTTGAATAATATATATTTAAAAACTATTAATTAAATATCTATATAAGCATAAAAACATCATTTAAAATTAAAAGATCACAAAATATTAATATCAAATCAATAATATAATAGCCAAACCCAAAATATAACAATCCAACATCAAAGGGAAAATCATACAACATCCTTGCATGTAAGTTTAATCCACAATATAATAGCCAAATTCATAAATATAACAATCCAACATCAAAGGGAAAATCATCCAACATCCGTGCACACAAGTCCACTCCATAATTATTACATTCTTCCCAAGTCTTAAGTGAAACCCGTCGAACCAAGAAAATTAGTCATCACCATAAACTCATTCAAGTCAAGTTCTTTGGTTGCTAAGTCATTAGCAACTATAGTAGGAAGAAAATCTAAGATAGCAGCTTTAGGATTAGATTGAGCTCTAAATCCAACATCATCAAACAAAGGTGGAGAAGATGTAGCATTCATATGTTCATTATCTATTATAAATAAGAGAAATCAATCTTAAGTTCTTAACTATCATTCTTTCAAAAATAACCTTCATCATCCCTAATAGCAATAAGAGGTTGTGGATTCTCTCCACGCAGCAAAGCATCACAATCTGCTTCATTAAACTCGGGAGCAGGTTGTTCTTCAGCTATCCAAAAGTGAGGTTTGTTAATAGATGCATAATCAATAGGATCATAATTTTTTTCCTTCAACTGTGACCTATTAAGTAAACAAGAAAGAAGTTAGATATTATTTAATTTTCAATAAAACATAAATTAAAACTAGATCATTTACACACACACACACACACACATAAAATACTACCTATGCTGCAACCTCAAGTTGTAATTAGTAAAAACTAGATCATTTAGGCACTGATGATCTAATATGTTTCTTCTTTTTGTGTGAATACATTCGAACAAGCTCTAATTATGCTCACATCCTGAAGATGATGAAGTTTGGCTAAAGTACACGAATTGCAACTTGTTGCAATTGTGGAGTATCATCTCCAACAAATGACCACCTTTCATCTGCAACAAAAAAGTAGCTATTTTACTTATAATTTCAAATTATAATTAATAATTAAAAGTAATAAAAGTATACAACTTACAAGGTGATAATTTTTTTACCACTTGACCTAAGTGATCTCGAGCAAAAGAACCATCATGATTTTTGTACAAACTCAATTGTTCCCATAAATGAACATAATTATCAAAGCTATACACCCCAAACAAATCAAGTATAGCATCTGTGAGCTTTCTTTTAAGATGAAAGGAAGAATCATATATGAATGCTGGATTCAAAAAATATGCCGCTGCATGAAGACTAGTCTTTAAGTGCTTATCCTATCAAACTTTAAGGATGTCTATGTAAGGCTTATACTTATAAGAATTGTTGTTACAAAAAACTTTTGATTCCATGTTTTGCCCTCATCATGCCTTCATAGACATAACCAAGAGAAGACTTTACATCTCTATCAACAATTCTTAGTAACTAAATGAGGGGACCAACAAGCACCACAATGTCATAACACTCATTCCATAATCTATTATCCAAGACAATATTAGCAAAATTATGTCTTGCTACTATCTTTGACAACTTGTGATCAACAAAATGTCTATCAACCACTAAAGCTTGCAAGTCATTTTTGTGCTTATGGATGATTTATAAAGTAATGAAGGTGGTAGCAAATTTAATTGCTCTTAGACACACAATCTCCCTCCAACCTTATCTTTTTCTAAGCCATGACAAAAAGACAGTATGATTGTATACAAAAATAGTAACCTTTGATGCCTTGGGTGCAAGGTGTAACACTTGAGGCAAACTTGCAATGTCTTTCAAGATGAGATTCAAGCAATGTGCAGCACAAGATGACTAATAAATATGCTTATATTTCTCATGAATTAGTTGACCACATGCTATATAGTTGGCTGCATTATCAATCACTACATGAACAATATTTTTAAGGCCAATCCACTCTATTATTTCACTAAATAGCTGAAATAATGTCTTGGCATCTTTCACTAGATTTGAAGCATCAACAAACTTCACAAACACTATACCTTTTATAGAATGAATTAAAAATTTTATTAATGTATGTTGCTTAACATCAGTCTAACCATTAGCCATTAATGTGCAACCATTACTTTCCTATCTGCTTTGATGAGCATCAACAATTAAATGACATTATTGTTTCAAATCCCCTAATAAATTCACTCTCATATCATAAGCAGTAGGGCCTTTAAATCCAGATCCTATAACAGCAATTAGAAATATATTTTTTTGAAAGAATGGACAATTCAATGTATTGAAAGGAATGCAGTTGATAACAAACCGCTCAAAAATAGCAATTTTTGCTTTATGCTATGTTTCTTTAGTTGACAAAACACTTTTAATACCTGGTTGTGCACCAGGAGTTGTTCTTGGGGCAAAGTAATTGCCAACTGCACATAAGCTTGTCTCTTTACAACACTTGTAGAAGCCTTCCTTTTATCTTGAGCTAGAGGAGCTATATTTGGAGGAGGATTGAAATCAACATCAACTACTTTTTGTAAGTCAATAATATCACCATAATTTTCCTCAATACCATCCATCTTCCTTTTTCTTGAAATCTCCCTTAAAGACTAGATCATTCAATCGCGTATATCATGAGGAACTTTTTTATAAGAAACAACTTGACTACTCATACCAGCTAGATGCAACTTCAATCTATTTATGCCACCCCCTTTATATTCACTTGAACAACGCAAGCATGTATAAATAGCAGTATCCCCTTCTTTTCTTAAGGCTACATATTCCCAAGTATGATCAGTCTTCCCATAGGTAAAGCCAGCTTTTGATTGTTTCTCTAATAAACTACCAATACTAGTCCCTCCAATAGCATTAACATTATGAGTAGAGGGGTATTTGACATAGGTATAGGATTTGGTGTGGGAGTGGGCCTAGGTGTGGGAGTGTCATTATTTTCAAGGCCACCAACATCCATGATCTTAAATCAAAACTTTAAATTCAAACAAACAAAAATTAAAATCATTAAATAAAAATAGTCAACCATAAAAATGGAAGAAGGGACTCTATATAAGGTAATTCAGGATTTAAGTAACAAAAATGAATTCAAGATAAGTAACAATTTCAGACAATCACAAAAACAAAAGAATAAATATGCAATTTAGGATTCAAGTAACAATTTGAGACTAATCAGGATAAGCTAAGGCAAATTCAAGCAAGTTGGATCTGGAGAGCATGGACTCACTGACTCAAAGATGATGACGAGTTGAACTTAGAGAGTGTGGATTCAGACTTCAGAGATGACTTGGGTACTCAACCTTGAGGAAAGAGATGAAGATGGACTGATAGAGAACATAGATTAGACTTTAGAAATGAGACGAGATCAAACTTCTTACTTCAGAAATGGGACGAAGAACACGTCCGACAAGGGTGCCAAGCTTAGAGATGCATTTGCCGTCTGTCGGAATAAAGAAAATCCCAATGAAAAATGCATGTGGTTGTGCGTTAAAGAGGACGAAGGGAAGAGTTGAAGATTTGAATTTGGAACTGGAAGTGAAAATTAAACAGAGAACAGGTAGAGCAAGTTGGGCTAGGGCAATACTTCCTTATTTTAGTCATTAAATTATAAAAATTTAAAAAAGAAATCAAAACTATGTCGTTTTGATGCTGGAGGAAGGGAAAAAAATTAATATAATGTGAATCCGATCAACTCATTTAAGCCATTGCTTTTTACAGTTTTTCTAATTCTTTGATTGGTTCATAGGTTGTTGACCAATTCCGTAGTATCCCGATTTACCTACTCCAACAAAATTGGACTAGTGACCGGTTCATGGTTAAATTGACCAATTCGGTTTGATTTTTAAAGCCTTGGTTGAGATGAGGAATGAAGAGAAAGTGAAAAAAGTGAAAAATAGAAAAAAGCCAACTCCATGTTAACCCTCATATTTCTAGGAGATTAAAACAATGTGGAAAAGCTATTTTAATGAGCTCAAATACGGTATGAAATTTTATTTTAAAAAAATTCAATGACATCTTTTCTTTTATTTTTTAATTCAACTCAACTAACAAATAATTCTATCAGACACAGAACCATAAAAATAAATAATTATAATAATAAAAAATAACTATATACTATTTCCAACATATATGTGATTAAAAAATAAAGTTAAATAATTTATTTTATTTTAAAATTTGTTATTCCATTTATAATCAAATATAATAACAATTTATTAATATATAAATTGTTATATTCAGGAAAACTAAAAATCCAAAAGATATATCTTATGTTAGAATTTGTTTCTTTTAAATTGTAAGAATATATTGTTAAACAATGAGAATCAAGCCGTTAACTTTTCTGGCCTATTGTCTAATTTAGTTCTTAAAATATTGGTTTACCAGTGCATATAAAAATGCTATCCTTTTGCTAATAAGAATATGAACAACTATTTGTTTTTGGTACAAATTATTTTAGAGTTTGTTAGCCCATATAAATTTTCTTTTATTTTACCAT